CTCGCTTCTCTCTTATAACCGATGTCTTAGTGCGTTTAAGCACCAGCCCTTGAGGGGTATCGACGCCACCGATGATCATGTGGATGATGTGCTGTGGTTCTTCCTATTCATTTTGTCTGTCGAAATCCCTATTTTTGAAATGGTTTTTGGCCCTGTCGCTTAAAAATTCTCGAAGGTGCCCTTTATTGAATAACCAGGCTATCTCCTCTCTTAGTTGCCTGCAATCTTCCGTTTTGTGGCCATGGGTGCATGATATTCACACATTTGATTAGGGTTCCTCTGGGCAGGATCGGTCTGCATGGGTCGAGGCCATTTAGTGTCTTTGATGCATCCGATAACTGACACGATGGCGGATGCATCGATACTGAAGTTATACTCTGATAACCGTGGTACTTCCTTAGGTCCGGTAGGCCTATCGAACCTACTTCTGTTCATCATTCCCCGAGACCTTTGACCTCGATCACATCTTTTATTGCCTTTTTCGTGGTTACGTCTCGATTCATTAACCCTGTGGTCTCCACTATATGGTCGGTATCGGTCCCTGATCGGCCTTTATTCTCGATTGATGTCCATTCTAACAGCAGGTCCAGAACCTAAATGATCGTCTTCGACTCTAATTTTCGATTGATACCAATTATGCACGTCGGCCCAAGTAATATATGGGTACTCGATCAGGTTATGCTTCAACCGCCGTAAAGCCATCGAACTTCGTTCGTTCAAACCTTGAGTGAAAGTCTGAACAGCCCAGTCGTCTGTGACTGGTGGTAGATCTATTCATTCCATTTGAAAACGAGATACGAACTCCCTTAGCATCTTGTTATCCTTTTGTCTTACCTTGAACAGGTCCGACTTCCTGGTCCCGACCTTTATGGCCCCAGCGTGTGCTTTTACGAAAGAATCTGCATGCATAGCAAAAGAATCGATAGAATTAAATGGTAAATTATGATACCATATCATTGCTCCCATCGAGAGGGTTTCACCGAATTTCTTCAATAATATAGATTCAATTTCATCGTCCTCTAGATCGTTCCCTTTCATGGCACATGTGTAAGAGGTGACATGTTCGTTGGGGTCGGTAGTTCCGTTATATTTGGGAATCTCGGGCATGCGAAACTTCTTTGGGATCGGTTTAGGAGTTGCGCTTGGGGGAAAAGGCTTTTGTATGAATTTTTTGGAATCTAATCCCTTCAATATCGGTGGTGCCCCCAGTATCTGATCAACCCTGGAGTTATATGTTTCCACCTTTTTGTCGTTTGCCTCGATCCTCATTTCTCCTGATTCTATTCGTTTGGTCAGTTCTTCGAACATTTTAGCAATTTCGGGATTAGTCCCCAACTCTTGCTCATTTGACCTTACTATAGCTGGTTCCGTTCTGTGGGTAACGTTTCGGGGTAGACTGGGCTCCAGCCTGCTCGGTATCTAGGTTTGACTCTGCAACTGAGCTATTACTACCTGTTGAGCTTGCAACATTTCGAAAATCATACGCAAGCTGATTCCGTTTTCCTCAACGTTATGGGTATCTCAAGCTGCAGATCGAGTACCACCATGAATGCTATTTTCAGGTTCAGAACGTAGATTTGCCTCAATAGCCACATGAGAATTAACGTCTAATGGCACTTTGGCTTGAGCTCCAACGGCGTCGACAAATGGCCTTTTGGCCCTGGGCATCAAGTTATTGTTCTCACCTTGAAGGCTAGCTTCGTTGTCGATGGGTAAGGCCATTTAATTGATAGCTCGTCATTGCTAATCCGAAATCAAAGGCACTTCCTAAAACAAGCGTAAAATGGTGTGTTTTGCAGATTCGTATCAAATAACTATTGTTATCCTTAGCCTCATGGTGGGCGCCAAACTGTTTACCTAAAAAAATGGATAGAGTTGAATTTATATGTAGTTCTAAAGGTACGTGGTATAACTTGACACAAATCGTAAGAGTAACTAGAAATATTGAATATTAATTATAAAGAAAAGATACAAACCAAGTTGAAAGGAAGATGGTTTATGAATAAACAAGAATGAAATTCTGTATGAAGCTCAAAAGGATAATCTCTTAATATGGAAATTTTTCGACAGTATTTGAGTTACATTGTATTAATGACTTGATGCCTTTACAGAAATAATAGCCATCCTTCTTATAGTAGAGGGATCCTACTTTAGATATCATAAAAAATACATAGTGAAAAACCCATGATAAATCAGCTTTTCCCTAATTTCTGCCGAGATTCTCTCTCTTAGTGCAGCTTTAATGGCTCTTGTCTCTTGGCTCGATCTTGATTGGACTCGGTATTGGTCGGTTTTCAGGTTTAGAGCTCGATGCGGGTTTGAACTCGATGCCGACTCGGGGCCCGGTATTGATTCGGGCTCGGTGTCGGTTGGTCTCTGGCTCTGAAGCTTGATACTATTGCTTCTCATTATAGCTCGATTTGGACTCGAGCTCGATAATGACGTCGAGCTCGGTATTTAATCTGACCCCGAAACTCGAAGCTCGTTCATGCCTTCTTCAAATCTCACCTCGATATTATGAAGACGCTCTTCGATCCATCTTCACCGATCGTACGAAAGGTCGAAAACGGTTTTGACCGTATACACACCTTATATATTTTCTTTCTCTTTTCAACTCTATTTCTTTGAAGCTTTGTATTCAAAATCGAATTTTTTAAATTATTATTTATTTAGATTGGGTGTTGTTGCAAATGATTGAGAACATGCTTCGGAGTTTATGTCTTAATTTTGAGGGAGTTTGGTGAATATTGAAAGTTATTTTGACTAAATTTTCATATTGAAAGTGAAGATGAAGAAGAGCACATGACGTACAAATGTATAAAATACATATAGCTTACATAATTGTATGTAAGTTGTATACAAATTATATGAAAGTTATATGATTATATGAAGCATGGCATAAACTGTACCTAATTAACTACACATTTGAATTTTGAAGTATATCAAAACTGTATGAAAGTTGTATGAATATTGCACGATGTTGTACAAAATTATATAAAAGTTGTATGATGTTGTATGAAGGTATGCAAATTGTATCTAGCAAAGAGCCCACGTAGGAAGATGTATACAATTTTATGAATTTGTATAAAAGTGGTATATTATTTTATCAATTCGTTTTTCGTGCAAGACTCGATTTTGCCTGTTGCTTTTGAATTTATTTGTGTTGTAATATTTCGAAACTATACCGAGTTTTCTTTTTGATGCTCGCATCAAATTAATTGTTGTTTCTGAATATTTTTGCGTTTAAGTTTAAAGTTTTGGAGATGAAACATAATTTTCATTGTCGCCATTTATGATAGAAATTAAAGTTAATTCTCTATTTTGTTTTGCAACCGCCTTTCGATGTATCATAAATATGTGTGATTTGTAGCTGGCTAATTGTGTATGTTATTTTCGTTTTCAATTACTAAATTGTGGTGTATTTGTCAAATTTTGAAGCTACATGTTAATGTCAATGTCGTTTGGGCGTATAGATGATTTAGGGAGGAAGTTAGATATAAAGGTAGTTAGAGGGTGTTTGGCTAAGACACTTTTCGGCTTATCTACGCGTTTGGTAAAGTTAAAAGTGTTTATAAGCCAAAAGCCATAAGCTGGTCACCTCCAGCTTATGATTTTTTTACCTTATAAGCACTTTAAGTTTGACCAAAATTTTTACTATTTTATCCCTAAAATATTCCTTTTCAAAACAAAACTCCTACATCGATACTCACTGCCTCACGTATTTTTTCAACCTAAACCCCACGTCTCTTCAAGTCTGCAATTCTTATTGACTATTTGAGGTAAGCAAATTCTCTATTCCTTTGCATATTTATATCTATGTGATTTTGTATTAATCTTTGAACTGTATGTAATAAACGAGGACATATCAAATTTTTGGTGTATTGGTTTCAAATTGTTGTGGTGATGAAGACAGTGTTTCTCTTCAAATATATTATCCTATTTAGGTTTATTTTTTTACTGAGAAACTTTTGTCAATTTATTAATTATTATAACTTATGATTATATGCTTATCATAAAATTTATTATATTTATCATAAAAATTATCTTATTTAATTACAATTGTATTTAAAATAAAATGATAAATATAATATTTTGTATTTGAATCGATCTGAAATCTAAAATTTTGAAGAAACTACGCCCTTATAAGTGTAAACAGTTCTAAGGTTATTCAAGTCATTTTAACAGAAAAAAGAGCTTATCAACACTTTTTTATCAAATACTGCAGCAGTTTATTATCAATTTCAACACTTGTATCCAAACTCGTAACAACTTATTTATTAAATCAATTTCAGCACTTAAAAATATTTTTCAGCACCTAATGCTTATCAGCCACTTCAAATCAGCTAATCCAAAAGGGTTCTTAGTAGGCGTTTGGACATAAGAACTGTAAAATTCGAAAAAATGGTAAAAAAAAAATTTCAAGTGAAAATGGTATTTGAAATTTAGAGTTGTGTTGGGACATAAATTTCAGTTTGGGTTATTTTTGAAGTTTTGTGAGTGAAAATTTTGAAAAATAATTTTTTTTTGGAGTTTTTCAAATTTTTGAAAAATTCCAAAATGCATCTTCAAGTGAAAGTTAGAAATTTTATGAACAAACGCTGATTTCGAAAAAAAGTGAATTTTTTTTGGAAAAATCTTCCATCAAATTTTATGTCCAAACGGGCCCTTAATATGTCGAATCTGAAATCCCAAATTACTGGCTACTCCCTTCGTTCCAGTTTAGGTTAACCTAATTCCTTTTTGGTTTGTTACAAAAAGAATGACCCCTTTTTAAATTTGGAAATAATTTTACTTAAACTTATATTTTTACCTTTAATGAGAACCTTTTATAACCACACAAATACTCTAGGTCCCTTTTTGAATTATTTAGGACTAAAAATTTCAAAAATCTTTATTTTTTCTCCGATGAAATTATTTTTGTATACAAATAAAATATAGTTAAATCGGGTAAATAAGTTAGTGATATAGGGCAAAAATCCCATAAAATAAGGGCAAGCAAATCAGACCCCGTTTAAAGGGAAACAAATATTCTGTCGCCATTGGCTGCTTACTGATCAACCACTAGATTCTTGGCTCTGCTACCGTTACTGTTCAGTTTTCAGCTCCTCTCTCTCTCTCTCTCACTCTCAAAACACAGCCAGAGTCAAATGGTGATGTGGGTATTTGGATATGGATCTCTAATTTGGAAGCCAGGCTTTAACTATGATGATCGCCTTGTTGGTTTCATCAAAGGCTATCGCCGTGTCTTTTATCAAGGTGGACCTTCTGCCTTTTTCCTAAACTGTTTCTATTTTAATATGTACATTTGATGGTTATGTACATGATTCTTTCAAAACTGTAAATTCAAAAAATCTCATTTCATGTTTTTCAGTATGTCCTAAAAGACTGGCACTTTTAAATATGATTTATAGTTACATAAATGTCTATCACTTGTTTTAGACTACAAGTTTCAATTTCTTTTTCTTTCTTAAATCCTGTGTCCAGTCGAACACTATCACAAAAATTGACGCGGACGGAGTATTAAGGAAAAAGTTAATCTGAAATGTGTTATATGTAATGTAGGGAGTACTGATCACAGAGGGACACCAGAATTCCCTGGTAGAACAGCGACATTGGAGCCTGCTGAAGGAGAAGTTTGTGTGAGTGCTTTCTTTCTGCATTAACCCATTTAATCATTTTAATATCTGTGTCTCTTTTTCTACTTTTAGTTGTCCTGAAAAATGAAAAACACTTTCAGTTTTATAGTTGTTATGTATGGTTTCTGAGGTGATAATGTACCTTGTCTTCTTCTATATTCACTTCTTCTGATTCAGTACATTAGTTTTGTTACAGTTAGCCCTAATTCACAAGGGATTAATGTGATTCTGTGGCTGATGGCTTCATTTTAAATCAACATAATTAGTCAAAGCAAAGTTTGATTGTTTGCACAGGGAAAAGATGTCTGATTCAATGACTGTCTGTCCTTTAATTTTTTGTTCTTGATCCTCAAATGTCTGATTGATACAAAGGAAAAAAAGTAGAGTATGAAGTGTATATATTTGAAAGAAGATAATAAAGCTATCCCTCTTGGTGGCTCTTTTCCCTTGCCTTTCCTCTTGTGTATCCAATCACTACAGTGTGTATACGTTTGTCCTTTCTTTCTTAGAGCTATGAAACTGATCAACTTAGTAGTGACGTCTATTCTTAACCAGAGCAATGCAAAATCTTCAGCATATTGTTTCCAGCAACAACATACATTCTCAAAGAGAAAAAGGAACAAAGAGCTTGTGTGCTGTTTTATGTGATGAAATTTATCTGCTTACGTGTGACTAATTCCAAATAGTTGAAACTGATGACCCTTTATGCTTCTGATCAGTGGGGTATTGCCTATAAGATAACGAAGAAGGAAGATCAAGAAGTTGCACTGACGGTATGTCTCTCTTTTTTGCAAAATGTTCTTTTATTTTATCCTTTCTTCAAGTGAAAGATTATAAAGTATATGTCGTTTCAGCTTTTTAAGTGAATATGAGACTTTGAACTCCGAAATTTGTGTTTACATGAACGTGAGAATTCAAAAATTCATGCTTTTGTCAGATAAGCATTTGAATCACATTCAGTTTTTACTATTTGAATATAATGAAGTGTTATCTTTCTGTCTTAAAACCTATTGACTTTATGCACTGAAGAGCCGAGGAGACATCTGAGTTGTTTGTTACACTTGAACTTGATAGAGGAAGTTCTGGATTTAAGGAGGTGAAATGTGGTCTAACTTTAAATATTTTGGGATCAGTCTGATCTAAAAGAATGATACTCAAAGGTAAGTTTTATAGAGCGGTGGTTATACCGGCCATGTTGTATGGAGTAGAGTGTTGGCCGGTTAAGAACTCACATATACAGAAGACTAAGTTGCTCGGACACGGGTTCAGGTGTCCGACATAGATGCGGATCTAAAGGTCGGATCCTTCGAGATGTAAATTCTAAGATTCGGGGATACGGATCCTAGTACAGATATGGGTGCGGGGATCCGGCTAAAAATAATTCAAAAATATATAAATATTTCTAAATTATGAGATTTACTTTTTATTTTCAAGTTGTAGATAAGTAAATGATTGATTTTCTAGATAAGGTATATTATTTTATTCAAATTTACCTTAGTTTTGATTCTGATTTTGGGAATCAAATTGTATCTCGTCTCGAATTTTTCCGTCCGTCGTGGTCAAAGTACCCAAAATTATTTGACCAGATCCGGTACGGATCCCATACCCACACCCATACTAGTGTCGTGTCGATACGGGTGCGGCACCTAAAATGCCGTGTCGGAGCAACTTAGACAGAAGATGAAAGTAGCAGAAATGAGGATGTTGAGGTGGATGTGCGGGCACACTAGGATGGATAAGATTAGGAATGAAGATATTCGGGAGAAGGTGGGTGTGGCTCCTATAGATGACAAGATGCGGGAAGTGAGGCTCAGATGGTTTGGGCATGTGCGGAGGAGAGGCCCTGATGCCCCGTTAAGAAGGTATGAGCGGTTGTCTTTGGCGGATACGAGAAGAGGTAGAGGGCGGCCTAAGGAGCATTTGGGAGAGGTGATCAGGCAGGACATGGCGTGACTTCCTAAGTTGCTCGGACTCGGGTGCGGGTATCCGATATGGGGATGGATCCGAGTATCGGATTCGGCAAAATCTAAATTTTAAGATTCGGGGGTGCGGATCCGGATATGGATACAGGTGCGGGGATTCGGCTAATAAAAAATAGAGCTATAAAAATATTATAAATTTTGAGAGATATTCTGTGAAAAACTTACATGAATTTTGTAGAATTCAATCTTTCATTCTCGAAGATGGATATTATTCTTTCATTCTCCTAAATCTGTTTTATTTTTGATTTTGAGAAATCAAAATCTCAATTTTTCTCCCAAATTTGTCGATGGACTCCGGTCAAAGTGTCCAAAGTCAGTTGACCGAATCCGGGACGGGGACGACACCAAAATCGAAGAGTCCGCGCAACTTAGGTGGCTTCAGATTTTCGAGGACATGGTCCTTGATAGGAAAGTGTGGAGATCGAGCATTAGGGTTGTAGGTTAGGAGGTACTTGAGCATTTTTCTACTTCGTTCCGGGTGTGAGGCTAGTCTGATAGGGTTTGTCTTAGATCGCTAGTGGTTAATGTTGTGTTCACACTATTCTCCTGTTTTTCATAGCACCGGGCCTTATTTACTAGTTATCGTTATTGCGTTTCAACTATTTTTTGGTTCTTATAATGATGTTATTATTTCTATGGTCTTTCTGATATATTGTCCTTTTCGTCTTTTTCGTTTTCTTGAGCCGAGAGTTTATCGGAAACAACCTCTCTACTCCTTCGGGGTAGGGGTAAGGTCTGCGTACACACTACCCTCCCCAGACCCCTTACCTGTAGAATTTTACTGGGTTGTTGTTGTTGTAGTCTGATCTAAAAGAAACAGTACATTCAGTTAAAAGAAACAGTACATTCAGGATTTTAAGTAGTTGGTTGTAATTTATCACCCCTTATACCATGAAAGAGAAGTTGAGCTAGACTTGATTTGACTAACCAGTGGCTCTTACAGATAATATTTTCTTGAGAGAATTCCTAAAAGGGAATGTAGAACTTCTGGAATTCGTTATCTTGGTAGTTGAATTTCTGAAGTAGGACGTTTAAGATTCAAATTTAGGTAATTCTACAATTTTGTTTTACAAAATGCACAAATTCTACTTTCACGAACTAGGGGGCAAGGTCTGTGTACACACTACCCTCCCCATACTCCACTTTTGGGATTATACTGGGTATGTTGTTATTGTTGTTGTAAAATGCAAAAATTGTCATCAACTAAATGCTCATGTTCACTAAGATGAACTGGAAACTGCATGCCCAATTTGAATCCAAAATATTTAGCTCCCTTATTATGGTATTCTTTAAGAGTTTGACAAGTTAGTGGTTCCAGTATTCCAAATTTTACTTAAGCTTCAAACTTTCACTTGTATGATGAGATTTTCTTGTTTGTCTGCTTACAATTCTATTATATTGGTATTCATGTGGCCTAAATCACAACATTGTTGACTCTATTTTTGTTACTGAATATTCTTTTCATCTGTTTTCCATCTAGTACCTTGAAGTCAGGGAAAAGCAATATGACAAGAAGGCTTATGTAGATCTTTTCACTGTAAGTCATACTGAACTAACATTTAACCAAATAAAGTGCTTGGGTTATTTATAATTCTTTGCTCTGTGATTATTGATTCAATAGCATATCAACTTATACTCCAGGAGCCTGCAGCATCAGAACCAGCTGTTTCTGGTGTATTAGTGTAAGTTACAAAAACTGACAAGCAACATGATTTCTGCTCAGTTTGGTTTTGAAGGTTCATATGCATAACTTGACTGTTTTGACTATTCAGATACATAGGGTCTCCAGACAAGAAGGTTAACGAGAACTACCTGGGACCTGCATCAGTCGAAGAAATAGCTAGGTGTATATCATATTTCAATGGTTTTTATTACTCCCTCTATCCCATTTTATGTGAACACACATTTCCCTTTAGTCTGTCCTAAAAAGAATGACACCTTTCTATATTGAACAATTTAATTTTAAAAGTCTTTCTTTCTTCTTAAGCTCCGTCCCAGTCAGACACCGTCACATAATTGGGACGGATGGAGTATTATCTTTTTGTTATTTGGCACTAAATTTGACATTGACAATCACATGTCAGAATTTCTGTTAGAAAAAAGAAATACATTATCATGAGTGGTGATCTTGATATTGTCCAGAGAAAAAAAAATCTTGACATTGATATCCTATGTGAACAAAAGTGAGATTCATTTATATTTGTTAGAGTCCACATCAGCTAAGTGTATGTGCTGTAGTCTTCTTATATGGTTTCGGAAAATTATTATTGCATGAGCTAGCTTTTTGGTTGGATAGCCTTAGCAAGGACGTTGAGTTCGTAAAATGGGGATGTGTGTAAAATGCTAAGTAAATCCAATATCTGCAAAACACAAGAGAAATGTTAGGTACATAAGGAAGTAGCCTTAGGACCTGAGTACCTGACTACACGTTTTAAAACCGTGCAGGTCTAGGTTCAAAGTGAACAATCTTACTAGTGGGTCAGGTTGTGACAATATGATATCAGAGTCAGGCTCATCCTTGATGTTGGGTTATCCAATGTTGCACCCATGTTATACCACTCCCCATTCCAAATGTCCGGCCATGGACGTGCAGAAGGTGTAAAATCACACATAGGTTAAGTATATGGGTTGTAGTTTTCTTGTGGCTATACATAACCTAGAGTTAAGTTCTTGTCAATTCATTCCCAGTGCCCAAATTTAGCTCTTCATAGTATCATTCAGCCACGGAAAGCATCTCTCTGTACATGGAACACCTTCTCCATGACAACTCAAGCATGTAGCACAGAGGGTCTTGGAAGCCATGGAATCCTGGAGAAGGAACTTTCCTCCATCAACGCCCCTCTTCAAACTGCATCTTAGTCATGGCCTGGGGAAGGAGTAAGTATTTGGTTATTCAGGGTTGTGAAAGGAAACTTCAATCTTTCATTTATTAAGTGATGAACTTGCTATAACCAGTCAAATGCAATGATAGTGTAAAGTTCACACTGCCAATGTACATAATTTAATACTAAAACTAAACCTGTCTTATGCCTTGTAACTAATCCTAAAATCAAACCTGTCTTATGCTTTGTAATTTTAATGTCATTCAAAAGCGGCTAAAGAGTTTGGATTTATCATTTGGAATAGGTATTATCATTTGGTATCTTCTTAATGTGTACTTGAATCATGCAGTCAAATTATTCGTGCAAAAGGCCCCTCAGGACCCAATAGAGATTACCTCTTTCAACTTGAAAAAGCCCTTGGCCTCTTAGGTAACTTCTTAAACCCTTGAAAGCTGTCTTTCCTACTTCATTTCTTGCTTTAGATCTGCTCATGCCTATTTAATTTATACTTTTGTTTTGTTCCCCTTACATTCCTCCTCCAATATTGCCATTTTCATTTGAACCAGGATGTGAAGATAAACATGTCAGTGACATTGCAAAGGAAGCCAGGCGCATTCTTTCAGAAGAAGTAACCATCTCATGATCTTGCAGATACCTTGAGCATTGTCTGAAAAACAAATGCCTTAATTTAGTTCTCCAAGATGTTGAGAAATCTATATTACTATGTCTAGACATATGACAGACACACATTATTCTTCTTCGCAACTGGGAGGGAAAATAATTGTTTTTCTATGTCTAAGTTCCTTCAGATTTCGTGCATTCTGGAAAAATAATATAGTATTGGCTTTGACAACCTTCAGTAACATACTTGAAGTGTCAGACGTGTTCATAGGATCGAGAGATGATCGAATTAATAGCTTGTGTGCGCACTTGTCTGATGTCATAGGATGTTCTTAAAGCTCCATTTTTCTTACATCTAATTACACGATTGAATTTTTAAAAGTATATTTAGTCTGGAAACATATTAAAGTTGCATATATTTTCACAAGCTCCTGAGCGAGGTCCACTGTAGACATCTAGCAGATCTTAATTTCTACCTTAGCTGATGTGTTGCTATTTCTTAATGCTGTAGTTTGTTGAGGTAGCAAACTGCTAGTAGAGAATAGTTGTGAGGATAATGTTGCAGATTTGGGGCTGCATGTCCAAATTTTGCTGGTTTTGGTTATTTTTTTTCTTCGTACAGACTATACTTGGTAAATAATTTTTTTTTTAACTACAAAAAAATAAAAAAATAAAAGATCCGTAGTGCTTACACTGCATGTCATGAGACTTATGCCTTGACCGGTAGGTACTACGTTAAATATATCATTTTACGCTCCTGTCTTTCTTTTGTTTTACTTCATATCACTCTCAAATGGAAAAGTAAAATCTGGGAATTGACTAACGGCATCTTGCTTTCTTTTGGCAAGTTTAGAAAGGAAAAAAGAAGAAGAAAAGAAACAAAGATCTGATAGTAAGCTTAAAGCGGAATACTGTCTGAATATAGCCAGAAATCAAAGAAAAAGGTCGGCAGTGGACGTCGCTTGAAGCTTGTGAAAATATATGCAACTTTAATATGTTTCCAGACTAAATGTACTTTTAAAAATTCAATCGTGTAATTAGATGTAAGATTCTTTTGTCTGAAAATGGAGCTTTAAGAACTCCCTATGACATCAGACAAGTGCGCACACAAGCTATTAATTCGATCATCTCTCGATCTTATGAACAAGTCTGAGACTTCAAGTATGTTGCTGAAGATTCTCAAGTTCTTTCTTGTCAAACATGATAGACACTAGAGATCAGAGTCATCCCATAGATAACTGCACTAGAAAATAGTTTGTAGCCATCTTTAATTCACTCTGCCACTCCATTGCTTGCCTGCCAAACCCCATCCAGGGGGCTAGCTTTGTCCAAATATAAGTAGAAATAGGACAATTAAATGGCAAATGATCAGTGGACTCATCATCAGAAGAACATAAATGATACCTCAGATCAGTTGCAACCTCCACTTTGCTAGTCTATCCTTATTTAATAATCTCACTTTGAAAGTTCATTCGTTTTGAGGATTGATTCGTAGATTTAAATGTTATTTTGGTAATTTGATTGCGCGAGCAAGTTCGTATGATGTTATTACACTTGTGTGCATGTTTGGTTTGGAGCCCAAGGGGCTCGGGTGAGTTTCGGACGTGTTTCAGATGAGTTTGGTTAAGGTTAGAATAACTGGTGCTGGTGCTCTGCTGCAGATCTCGCATTTGCGAGGTCTGGCTCACAAATGCGAGCCTCGCTTTTGCGAACAATGATTCACATTTGCGAGCGTAGGCTGGATTGGATGAAACTCGCATTTGCGAGATTTTGTTCGCATTTGCGGACTGTGGACCTTCTCATTTGCGAAGGAGGTGGTCGCAATTGCGATCATTGACCATTGTTGACTGCTTCGCTTTTGCGAAGAGTATGGTCGCATTTGCGAGGGCTCTGGGTTCGCATTTGAGAACAAAATGTCGCATTTGCGATGTTCGCAATTGCGAACATGATATCGCCATTGCGACATCTGCAACTGAGTAAAAGAGGGGAAAAATGGGATTTAGCTCATTTCTCACAAACTCTCAACCCTAAACACCCTAGAGGCGATTTTTCAAGAGACTTTTCTTCCTAATCATTGGTAAGTGACTTTAATCTATTTCTTTTCAATTACCCATTATATTTCATGAGATTTCAACATCAAATTTAGGATTTTTATGGTAGAAATTAGGGATTTGGGTAGAATTGAAGATTTTTTTAAAATATAGATTTAGACCTCGAATTGAGGTCAGATTTCGAAACAAATCACATAATCAGGCTCGGGAGTGAATGGGTAATCGAATTTTGGCCCGAATCTCGATTTTGACCGAGCGGGCCCAGGGTTGACTTTTGTTGACTTTTTAAAAAATGATCTAAATTGAACCTCTTTCATTTGTGGATAATTTCTAAAGCTTCTTTTGAATCATTTGGTCAATGACTTGCTAGATTTGGTTGGTTTGGAGGCTTGTTCGAAAGGCAAGGTCGTGGTTGATTGATTGCTTGAGTTGCGGAGAGAGGTAAATGTTGGATCTAACCTTGATTTGAGGGAATTAGGAACCCTTGAACTATATGTTATGCGGAATTACATGCGTAGCGGCGTATATACGAGGTGACGAGTGTATATACGCTATCAAAATAATTGTTTCCATGTCTTTCTCGTATTTCATGAATTATCTCACTCTATGCCTAAACTATTGCATGCTTTAATTGTCTTCTATGCCGTAATTTATTACTTGTCATTAATTATTCTTGTATTACATTGTTCGTTCCTTCCATGATTCCGTGATTAACCGCTACTTGCCTTTAATTGTCTTACTTGCACACCTTAACTGTCATGTACTTGACTTGTCTTGTTGCTTTTGTATTAATTATAGTATTCTTTTGATTAGTACGGGGTTCCTTTATTGTTTTGCTTTCATATTCCTAATTGTAGAGGTTCTTGTAAATTGAGCTATTGAATTGATTGCTTTTATTGACAATATTTATGGATCGGGTTACACACCGCAACGATTGTGATATGGAGGAATAAGGGAGGACTTTGATATTGATTATAATGATATGGTGGGATGGGGTTACGCGCCGCAACGGTTGTGAATGTGACACTTGATATTGGTAAATTATGATATGGTGAAATAAGGGAGGAGTATGACATTGATTATGATGATATGGTGGGATCGGGTTGCGCGCCACAACGAACTTTATATATGATTCTTGACATTGATAAATGATATTATGGTGGAATAAGGGAGGATTGTGTATGTATGGTGGGATCGGATTGCGCGCCGCAACGGATTGCATATGTTATACTCATTGTGTTATTGTGTTACTTTTCAGCCTTTTTATATGATATTTTGCGGTCTGAAATTCTGGATTCTCTAGTTGCGAGGATTGAGCCCATTTTCATAAATTAACTGCTTTTCGTTATTTCCTGTTTCCTTCCTTGTTATTATTATTATTACTGCGTACATGTTATTATAAGTGCCCCGCCTTAGCCTCGTCACTAATTCGTTAAGGTTAGGCTTGACACTTACATAGTACATGGGGTCGGTTGTACTCATACTACATTCTGCACTTCTTGTGCAGATTTTGGAGTCGGTCCTAGTGGTGGTCAGTAGATTGCTCGGATCCGGTGCTTGATGGAGACTTGAGGTACAACTGCATAGCGTTCGCAACCCTGAAGTCATCTTCTACATTACTCTAGTTGTTTATTTAAACTCAGACAATTATGCTTTCATTAAGACTATTATTTCTAGTACTATAGACACTCGTCTATTCGTGACACCAGTTCTGGGATTTATATCTGGATATCACCGTTTATCAGATTTATCTACTTTAGTTCTGTTTATTTAGCTTAATGGTTTTCATTTGATTTGAATTATTAAAAATGGTTAATAATAACATCTAACATTGACTTGCCTAGCAAGTAAAATATTAGGTGCCATCACGGTCCTGAGGGTGAAAATTTCGGATCGTGACAAGTTGGTATCAGAGCACTAGGTTGCCTAGGTCCACGAGTCATGAGCAAGCTTAGTAGAGTCTGGAGGATCAGTACGTAGACGTTTGTACTTATCTTCCAGAGGCTATGGAGTCTAGGAAAAATTTCACTTCTTTCTTTCTCTATCGTGCGATTTCATTCTATTATTGATGATTAAACCATTCTATTCTTGTTCTCTCGCAGATGGTGAGGACACGCACAACATCAGCAGTCGGGCAAGAGCCGGAGCCCCCTATGACAAGGCCGAGGTCGGGCCAGAGTCCGAGGCATAGGCAGAGCTCAGCCTAGAGCTCGAGCAGCAACACCCACAATAGAGCCTCAGATTGATCATGAGGAGGAGGTACCAGCTTAGACCGTGCCCGTTAGACCAGCTCAGGTCCCGGAGGGATTCATAGCCACTCCAGTGCTTCAGAATGCTCTAGTCCTCTTAGTGGGCCTTATGGAGAGTGTGGCCTAGACCGGTGCATTTTCGGTATCACCAGTCGTCTATCGGGATGGGAGAGGATCACAGACTCCCGCTACTCACACCCCGGAGCAGGTGGCTCCCCTATATCATACTCTAGCAGCCCAGCCAGTGGGGGTGGTTCAGCCGGTTGTTGCGGCACATGCCGATGATAGGCCCGCTATGTCTTCTGAGACCTTGTTGAGGTTGGATAAGTTTACCAAGCTCTTCCCTATTCATTTCAGTGGTGCATCTTCTAAGGACCCACAGGACTACTTAGACCATTACCCCGAGGTGTTGCACAACATAGGTATAGTTGAGACCAATGGGGTCGACTTTGCAGTGTTTCAGATGACTGGTTCCGCCAAGAGATGGTGGAGTGATTATATGTTGACTAGACCAGCTGGTTCGCCTGTACTTACCTGGGATCAGTTTTCACAGCTATTTCTAGAGAAGTTCATTCCTGTCACTCTGAGAGAGGATTACCACAGGCAGTTTGAGCGTCTTCAGCAGGGTAGTATGACTGTTACCCAGTATGAGACTCGATTTGTGGACCTAGCTCGCCATGCCATTATTTTACTCCCTACTGAGAGGGAGAGAGTGAGGAGATTCATTGATGAGCTCACTTTCAGTATCAGGCTACAGATGGCCAAGGAGACTGGAAATGATATTTCTTTCCAGAGGGCCGTAGATATTGCTAGATGGATCGAGATGGTTCGTGGTCAGGAGAGGGGGTCGGTGTCTGATAAGAGGCCTTGTCATTCCGTTGGTTTTAGTGGTGCCTCATCTGGAGGCAGGGGTACTTTTGGCAGATGCCATCCTCCTAGGCCATTTCAGTCAGCCCTTCAGGCATCCCATAGTGCTTCGTGTAGTCATGGTCCTTATGTATCTCACTCTGGGCAGCCAGCCCACAGTACACCATCAGCTCATATTAGTGCACCTCTGATCTAGAGCTACCACCATGGTTATCCTGCCCGTTCAGGTCAGCTTCAGCTTTAGTAACCACAACAATAGGATGGGTGTTTTGGGTATGGGGGTACTGGTCACATCAGGAGGTTCTGTCCGAGATTGTTGAGCAGCATGCCACAACAGAGTTCTCATGCCATGGTCCCGGCATCGGTTGCTCCACCACTTGCTCATCCAGCTAGAGGCAGGGGTCAGGCAGCCAGAGGTGGAGGTCAGACCATTAGAGGTGGAGGTCAAACCATTAGAGGTGGAGGCCAGCCAACTAGAGGTCGTCCGAGAGACGGAGGTCAGGGTGATGGGGCCCAGCCCCAATTTTATGCATTCCCAGCTAGACCTGAGGCCGAGCCATATGACGCCGTTATCACAAGTATCGTTCCAGTTTGCCATAGAGATACTTCAATTCTATTTGATCCAGGCTCTACTTATTTCTATGTGTTATCCTATTTTGCTTCATATCTGGTTATGCCTCATGATTCTTTGAGTGCTCCTGTGTATGTGTCCATGCCTGTGGGAGATTCTATTATTGTAGATCGTGTCTATATCTCGTGTGTGATTACTATTGGGAGTCTTGAGACTAGTGTAGATCTCCTACTTCTTGAAATGGTAGACTTTGATGTTATTTTGGGCATGGATTAGCTGTCACGTTATCATGCTATATTGGATTTTCACGCTAAGACGATGACCTTAGCCATGCCGGGGTTGCCTCGATTAGAATGGAGAGGAACTCCTTTTTTTTAAATAAATTATACTACTAAGCGGTCTACCCAGCAGCTTATTTATTAATAGTAAAAGAAAAACCATAAAGGAAGAGTACAAGTAAGGGGGACAAAAGCTACACTAGTGTTGCCTCTAATAGCAAACACATACTAAGCTAAAAGCTACACTAGTGTTACCTTACAATTCCTATTGAGGCATGAACAACCTCATCTTTTAGCAAGCTTGTAAAAAATAAGAACTCGAAATTAGTAAATACTCTATGATCATCATAGAGTTTATAACACACTCTATGATGATATTACATATGATAATGCTTAGAAAATAATAAAATAAAATGAGGTAGAAATTGGATTCTTGCCCCTCATTCATGATACTTGTGAGTTCTTCAAATTGTAGCTCGTTAAAATCCTCTTCAGCTATATTTAATAAATCTTCAAAATTTCTCATTTCTTCTTCGATCGATTGGACTTTGTAGATATGGCCGGGGCTGCCCCTTTTCGCTTTGCATCTCTCATTGGGAGTATTCTAAGTGTTACTCCTTCATTCACTTTTTCATCCCAACTATTCTCCCTTGTGAATGCCTTATTCTTTTTTCCACTGTGTGTAGGAGATAAATCTCCACATCTAGTCGCCTCAACTCGGCAATAATCAAGCAAATCTTCTTCTTCGCCTTCTTCCCAAATTTCAACACGTAAGTTATTCTCTAGTTGTTGAATAACACATTTCTGTGCAACCATATCTAATAGTTCATGCCTCTTCACAATCATGGCATTAGGTTTTATTATGCAATCTTTCAATTGAGCATTTTTTATTCTTACCCGATTTTTTCTGTAGAGGCGCAGATTCTTTTGTACCTGGTAGATGTTGTCCAGTAGGAACAAAAACAGCAGCATTAGGACTTAGTTTTGTTTTGATTTGCACACTTGGTGAAGTACTAACAACCTGTTCAAACACAGTTACTGCTCCTTTCTTAGCGTTATCACCTCGTCGTGTTGAAGAACATGTTTCTTGAGTGTTTTGTTCCTGGAAATCAACAACATAATCTTCTTCACCTTCTTCTAACTCTTCTGCTTGGTCAGCCCATGACTTATGTTTAGAGCTAATTGTCGCCTATAGCTCGCTTAAAATCTGGACAGGTTCATCACTTAGTTCGGCATCACTCATCATGTCTTCATGTACTTCTCTTGTGTGGTCAGCCCCTCCCTTTTTTGTTGCCGACGACATCATGGATAAAGTTTGTTGGTTGTTGGAATCTTGTAACATGTTGCCAGATCGATCAAACAAATCATTGGAAGGAATATCATATTGGGATGTATTCAAACCAACCCCTTCCATGCCATTATTTCCCTTCACCTCTTGAAGAAATAGTCCCTTCGTAGGATTAGACAAAAACCCAGGCAGAACTTGCAAAGGATTCAAACCTTCCAGAATTTCAGCTCAAATTGCAGTAAGATTTACATTAGTAGGTGCAATGGAGTTCCTGGAAACTTTGCACTCATCCGCACATACCACAATCTGCACTTTCTCATTTTTTGAACTCTTCTCTGCAGCTCGATCTGGAGATTTAATTCCAGATGTTTCCTTCTTTTTGCGTGTTACTGAACAACAGCCTTCCTCTCTATTGACATCCACTCCTTTCTTGCTACTAGAGTTTACTACCTGGTCTTGCATGCCTGGAGATCTCCTATTTTTAGGCGATCGATGCGTCACTGCTTGCTGCTGATTCCGTCGAACATATGTAGCACTTGAAATCTGCTGTTGTTTCATCCCTTTTAGAGATGCATTATGCCTTGTAGGTGATCTCACCACCATTTTTCAATCAACTCGTGCTGCATTCACATGTGTTGCATCATTAGACGAAGTGGAAACGTGGTCTAGATCCTCCACATTCACAGTTGCAGCCTCCAAACCATCAGGTAGTGTACCAGCATCAATAGCAACATGTTTATTGTTTCGTTCCCTTGTTTCTAAAGCTTCTGCTCCCTTATTAACCTGGTTGTGATGTTTAAGAATTTTCCCAGCCCTCATAACATCAACCTCAATCAACTTTACCTCACCATGAGATGTATTTTTTCCAGCTTCATGCACAGGTCCTGCAGTAAAATTACTTTGCATTTTACTAGTGTGCCCAGCATTGGCATGGTCAGCTGAATGTTTTGGACAGTTTTTTGCTTGTTCAAGCACTGCATTATCATCTATACCAGTTACACTATCCAAAGCATCAACTCCTTCAAGTTCTTTTCTCTCATCATGTACAATAGTAGCTATAAAACATGCTTGTTTTTCAGCTAGTTCTTCACGTGCAGCAGTTGCATCAGGGACATGTTTGATGTTAGGTTGTCCCAGTTCCTTTTTTAGTTGATGCACAGCTTCAGTTTTTTTTTTCCAACACCAGCAGATTCCTTATCCTAAGTTGAACCTCCAGCATCATCATGAACATTAGTAGCCCTTAAATCCTGATAAACTCTCGTTAGAGCTGCCGCAACTGGAATGACACCACAATCTTGAGTCACGTTTGGTTTTTTCAAAACATCAGCTTTAGATTTATGGTTAATAAGATAAATTGTAGCATTAGTTTTTGCTAACAGTTTTTGAGGTTGCCTAGGTGCAACATTGTAAACGTTAGTATCTTTAATAGCGTGCACATCGATTTGCAACTCCTCAACACCACTGCTTACAACTACTTTAACTGGAACTGTATTAATCCCATTAACTGAAACTGTATGTTGCTCCTTATTATAATCTGATCCTTGACGAGCAGCATGTGAACTTTCACCACTGTTATTTGTTGACACCAAACACATTCCTTCAGCTACATTCCTTAATTTTTTGGCATCTAAAATTAGTCTCAAATCTCCTTTAAATTTTCCTCCAATGGTTTCAAAATCACGATCATCCAACTGGTTTTCCTTTTGGACCTTCTTTAAAAGCAAACGACACACCTATTTCTCATGCCCTTGGTGCTTGCAAACATTACAGTAAGCAGGTAAGTTATCATAAATAATTTCCTGGAAGAACTCAAACACTTTTCTAGATTTATTTTCCACATGTTGCAACCTTATTCTTTGAGGAAGGTTATTCGAGAGGTCAAGGATTACCCTAACTCTAGCAGTGCTAGGTCTTGATCACGTTTGATTTTCTTTATCAGTTGCAATAGGAATACCAACTGCGGAAGCTATTGACAGCAAAGCCTTCTTCGCAAACAAATTTGGAGGTAGATTAGGAAGTGATATCCACACGACGGCCTTCGTCGTTTCTTCCTTGTGATTGAATCCAATGGACTATGGGAAAACTCTATATTGATGTTATGCTCCATGGTGCATAAAATAATTAACTGAACGCGACAATGATAACACAAAATCTTCATAATGATCACACCTGATTAAAAGCTTCCTAGGCGCTAATAATCCTGTTAAACAATGGCCCTTAATTCCCAGTTGCTTGGGCAGTATTGCTCGCAAAGATTTTAGGTCTGGTGCACGAGCAGAAACTTTAACCACAATTGCTTGATTCAATCCCTCTTCTTTTGCAAAATGTTGGCGCTCCTCCAAGTCAAAACGAAGGGTTGGTTCTCCATGGACAAAGTCGACTGGTTTTAACACTGTTTGATGCAAAAACGTAACTATTTTGGCTTGGAAAAATTGTACAGGGGTGTAAAAGACAACCCTCGCGTGTCATTGTGTGTGATAGTGTACAACCAAGACTTGATTGGAAGAAATGTAATGACAATGTATATAAAGAAGTAACAAACAAAGGTGTAGCAGCAATAAGCATGGTGATCATAAAGAGCAAATAACTATAAAGAGCAAATAAAGCAGGTAATTATATAATTAAAACTTCAACTATAATCAAAGCAAGGTATAAATAAATCTAGAGGCCAAATTAGTCTAAGTCTGATAAGGTCAAAACTTAAGTGTGATATACCCAGCAGAGCCGCCATGTTGTTGCACCCTATTTTGCACTAATCAAGACAGGATTCAACTTGTGGTTTCTCTATTGTTGATGACAGAGAGTCGCCACCTAATATTTAAAGATATACTAGGGTACCTATTTAATTACTAAGTTATGTTCATTATAGGTCTGCAAACCGGTGAGATTATGGGTAAGGGTTTTTGTTCTTCTATGGGGAAGGTGTTAGGCACCCCTTAAAATCTATCTGAGGTAGCTCCATAGGACTTAGACTAATTTTAAGGAATCAATTATTTATACTATGCTTAATTATTACTAAGGCATGGCTTACTATATGTTAAAGGGAGTATATGTAAGACTTAGAAGGGGTGTAGGATTATAAAATAGTTATTGAAGGTTAAGAGAGTTTTCAAAGTGGTCCATATTTTAAGGCTTGTAATTACTAAGTTAAGAAAGTGATTATCTTTGAAGAGCAAATGCTTGTACAATTGTAAAATCTGGTTTCATTCCTTGTTAGTGAAAATTAGTGATTCTTTTCTAATTTCTCTTTGAAAACGGGCTGCTGTTTGATTATGGGCATGAGCTTCAAAAAAAATCTTTATGAAAGGTGAGTATACAAGATGAGCAAATTATAATTTAATTCCTTTTAAGTCCTATATTAATTAAGGTTTGCCTATGTTTCATATGATATGAAATCAAAGATAGAGCACATAATTTAATATATGAGTGTTGAATACATGAATATGAAATACGATAAGACAACAAAGGTAGTAAACAAAAAATAATGAAAGCAGTAAGCTAAGCTATAAAAATAATGAGTAGTAGCGAAAGAAGTAAGGGAGAGAGGACTCGACTCTGATAATTGGGCCTCAATAAAATAGGCCCAGTAATTGAGGAACGCAGCTAGAGCTAACTGGGCTCTTCAAAGATGCAGCGAGTCTGGTTTGGGCTTGAGTTCCTTAGGAACTCAGCAAGCCCAAATGTATACATGCCCAAAAGAATAAAAGAAAGTCATTATAAGTATTCCCACATTCTCAACATATTCAAAACATTTATGACATGTACATTAAACTAACAATTGGAACAAGAAAATAATCAATATTGTGGAAAATTATATTAACGTAGTGGTTCTACTTAGCAAATAATTCACATTAAAAACCTTTCGTTATCATTAAACATTAAACCCCCAAAGAACTGAATGTGTCAATGAATTAAGGGCTAAGGAGGAAGCTCCACTCAAGGTCGATGCTCCCTTTGGATGCCCCGACACTTCAAAGTTCCCAAGGGACTCAAGGCCCAGGAAAATGCTTGTACCGGGAAGGGCAACCCAATCTAGAGTCGAACTCCACTTCCAAATACCCTTAAACACTAACAACATATTTTCCTTACGGTTTTAAATGCTAATGAGGCCCTTTTAATGTAAACTAGATGATATAGCATAGCCTACCACATAATATATTTTCCCTCCTAACATAAGAACATATAGTCTATACTGGATTACCAAACAAACATATATCACATGAATTCTAAAAATCTGATTCTGAAACACATACAAGTGAGCATCATAAGCATATTACAAAGGTCAAAATTTAGGGCAGAGTAATATTCCAAGAAAGGCAAAGCTATACAACAACAACTCAGCATATACAGAGGTTTCAAAGATATCTAGGACATGATCAACTTTCTCAATAGGTCCACAAATTTATAGACTACAACATGGAATCCCTAAGGATTTCTACAGAATCATACTCCTAATGGTATTAACTTCAAACAAATCATCAAGTTCAGATAGTATCAACAAGGATCTTTATGAGACTTAGGGATTGGATTTGGTTTAAAGTTATGAAAAGAGAAAGGACTAGGGTAGTTCTGGACAAGATATATAATCAGGAGCTAAGCAAGAGCATGCAATATTCAGTCAGATACTTAAACACTTCAAATGCAGTAATGATCTTATGTAGACAGGGGAAACCTTACACATTTATATAATTGGATTAAGCATGGCATGATAGGAAAGAGTTACAGATAAAGGGAAAGTATTGCATTGGAACATGTTCAACTCAAACTTAAGTCTGGGTTAGTACATGAATACAAAGATGATCATGCTTCTTTTTTACAAGTTATCACTTAACTAGGGCAGAGTAACTAGGTCCTTCTAAAAGATAAAATGCATGCTAGCTTTTCAAAATTGAATGATAACCTTAAAGATAATAGATAGGAGATATGATACCAAGTAAGCCTCATACTGAGAGTATTGACTAATCAAGAAAATAGTTAAGTTCAGTTGAACCAATTATCAGTTTTTATAACAAAGAGAAAGAAATAGGATCATGATCACATTATGAGGAAAGATAACTTAGCCTTAACAGATGTGTACAATAGGATTACTGGAAGAAAAGAGGAGAAGTTTAGTTCAAACAAGATTAGGTCAACAGAAACAACAAGCAAAATAAAAGACCATAATGGCAACTCAGAAAGAATCTAACAGACATAAGTAGAGAAGATAGCATATAAACACTTAGAGTTCCTACTTAAGGTTTAAAGGATAGAGAATATAAACTTAACACATTCAGATTCATTCAATCATGGTTATCAGATAATAAGTTCAACTTCAAAATCTCACAAACTACATAGATGCAACATGCAAGGATAAAGGTTACTGCAGGCCAATAAAATTTATCAGGTTCACATGAACATGAACATATAATAACTTAAACATGTAGACTGTTGGAAACTCAGGAACAAAGATCAACAAGAATCAATTAATAATTTAATTTGTCATTGATTAAAGACTCAAAGCAAGACAACTAATCACAAATAGATATTAAGCTGACAAAACATAAACATTAACATACTGAACACCATAAAACAATTGTAATACTCAAAACCTAACTTAGCATGCTTGTAGTATTCAAATAAAACGAACAAACGAGAAGAATGAGAGATGTGCTGACCTTTTTGAGAGAAGCAGACCAAACGAGAGCTCTTTTCAGTTGCTTAAACCCCAGGAACCTCAAGTTTAGACCGGCGATAGTACTCAACAAAAGAAAAGAAAATAGTAAGAAGACCTAAGGCTTGGAATCCTAAGCTTCTTAGTGCTTGTGTGTGTTTTCTCTTCAGTGTTAGGTGGTTGATTTGTGATTTTTCGTTGTTAGGTAAGAGCATTTAAGACTCCTACTTATAGTGCCATTTAAGGCTCTAGGGTTTCAAATAATTCAAATCAGATAGTAGAAGGTGATGATTACCAGATGATGTGAGCACGATTAAGTGAAATTTAAAGATAACAGAGGGAAAACAGTGAAGATTTCTACCTGAGAAAGGAGATTGAATCGTCGAAGGCAGAAGAACATCGGTTAAACTCTATTATCCAGAGGTCACTGAGTTTAACCTCTGGACATCGAATCCTCATGATGAACTCTGAGAAGGAACTCCATGCATGCTCCGATTTGATAAAACACGGAGAAAAATCAGAGATTTGATATTGTGTCTTTGGGTCTAGGGTTTCAGGATTTAGATGTTTGAATTTTGTGATTGAAAAAGGGAATTTGCAGTAGGATTCACGGACTTCAGGAGGCAAAAGGTAATTTTAGGTTCCGATTTGAAAGATCATAACAGAACTCAGGTGATTTGAACTTTCATCTTTGAGTCTAGGGTTAAGCTTTGGGGATTTCAAATTTGTGTGATGAAACGGGAATGAAATCGGCGAGATTCGCGATTGGGGAAGACAAAATGAATGAATTCATGGCTGATTTATTGACCTTGTACGGATTTGTGCAAGGTTTTATGATTAATGGAGGCTGAAAAAATGAGAGAAAGAAGAGAGAAAATAGAAAGGGAGGCGAGAGGGGGTGGGAGAAATGATTAGGGTTTCTGGGTAGGTTAGGGGTAACTCTAGGGATAAAATGGGTGAGGGAGATTTGGGCCGTTTGCTCTTTAGATCAACGACCCTGATAATTCAGGCCTTAACAATTTAAAATGACAAAATACATGGACCGTTGGATCTCTTAGGCTTCGACGGTTGAGATGAATTTGAAGATGTGTTTTAAATTAAAGAGTAAATAAGAGATAAAACGTTGGTCGTCGATCAAATAGATGGATGGCCTAGATTGAATGTGCTTTCTTTGTGAGTGAGAAAAGCGAGTGATACGGCATGCTCTTATTGGCTAAGAGAGGGTGTCGCGGATCACCAAGGTGGCAAACGAGATGGGTGTATGGACTGGGTCAGGTCCGGATTGGTCTTTGTATTTGGGCTAAAATAATATAACTAATGGCTACTTTGTAATTAGTTAAGGAATTGCAATCGTAACCTTCTAGTCTTTATCTCTTTTGAAATTTTAATCCTGATGTTGATCTGACGCAACTTTAAATAAACTTAAATATTTCAATAAAATGTAGTAATAAATTATAATTGTTAAATACTACTAATTATTGTAATTAATTGGTTATTTGTAAAAATACTTCATTAGGACATTAATTTTGAATTATTGAAATAGTAAACTAATTAACTATTTTAAGAAGTAATTTATTGAATTAATTATAGAGCTTACGTTTAGAAATTATTTTTAATAACCTAAAATAGTAAATATATTTGTAACTACATAATGTCAATATTACGTAATTAATTTTGAAACTAATGCTTGATTAATTTGAAAAAAATAGATATTCATTACTGGAAAATACTTTGAAATCGTTTATTGCAAATTATTAAGTATAAATAAATTAATTTAAAAGGGAGGGTCAAAATTGGTCGTCAACATCATCAATTGAAGATTAGGGCATCGAATGTCCCTAAGATAGCTTTCCGGACTCGGTATGGGCATTATGAGTTCCTAGTGATGTCATTTGGGTTGACAAATACCCCAACATCATTCATGGATATGATAAATCGGGTATTTAAGCCCTATTTGGATTCTTTTGTGAGCGTATTCATTGATGATATCTTGCTCTACTCCCGCAGTCGAGAGGAGCATGAGCAGTACCTTCAGATTGTACTTCGGACTCTAAGAGATAACCAGTTATATGCCAAGTTTTCAAAGTGTGAGTTTTGGTTGGACTTAGTCGCCTTTTTGGGGCATGTTGTATCTGCAGAGGGCATTAAAGTGGATCCTAAGAAGATTGAGGCAGTTCAGAACTGGCCTAGACCTACTTTAGCTACAGAGATTCGGAGTTTCCTAGGTGTGGCGGTTATTATCGTCAGCTCGTGGAGGGATTTTCATCCATAGCAGCCCCATTGGCTAGGTTGACTTAGAAAGGTGCTCCATTCAGGTGATTGGATGAGTGTAAGTTGAGCTTTCAGAAGCTCAAGACTACTTTGACTACGACGTCAGTGTTGGTGTTGCCCATAGGTTCAGGATCTTACACGGTATATTGTCATGCATCTCGTATTGGGCTCGGTGCAGTATTGATGCAGGATGACAGGGTGATTTCATACGCGTTACGGCAGTTGAAGGTTCATGAGAAGAATTACCATGTTCATGACCTAGAGTTGGCAACCATTGTTCATGCGCTGAAGATTTGAAGGCATTACCTCTACGGCGTGTCGTGTGAGGTGTTCACGGATCATCAGAGTCTACAGTATTTGTTCAAGAAAAAGGATCTCAACTTGAGGCAGAAGAGGTGGTTGGAGCTGTTGAAAGACTATGATATCACCATTTTATTTCACCCCGGGAAGACCAATGTGGTGGCCGATGCCTTGAGTAGAAAGGCTGTGAGTATAGGTAGACTTGCGTATATTCCAACTGGTGAGAGACCACTAGCATCAGATGTTCAGGCCTTGACCAATCAGCTCGTGAGGTTAGATGTTTCAGAGCCCGGACGTGTTCTAGCTTTAACGATCTCTCGGTCTTCTTTGTGTGAGCGCATCAGAGAGCGTCAGTATGACGACCCCCATTTGCTTATCCTTAAGGACATATTGCGGTACGATGATACCAAGCAGGTTACCATTGGAGATGATGGGTTTTTGTGGATGTAGGGTCGTATTTGTGTGCTTAGTATGGATGGGCTACGAGAGTTGGTTCTTAAAGAGGCCCACAGTTCCCGGTATTCCATTTATTTGGGTATCGCCAAGATGTATTAGGACTTGGGGCAGTATTATTGGTGGAGGAGAATGAAGAAGGATATAGTTGCATATGTAGCTCGGTGTCTAAATTGTCAGCAAGTAAAGTACGAGCATCAGAGGCCTAGTGGTTTGCTTCAAAGGCAGGAGATTCCAGAGTGGAAGTGGAAGCGTGTTACCATGAATTTTATTATTGGGCTCCTACGGACTTAGAAGAAGTTTGACGCGATATGGGTCATTGTGGACAGGTTGACTAAGTCGACACATTTCATTCCAGTGGTAGTTACCTATTCTTCATAGCGGTTAGCTGAGATCTATATCCGCGAGATCGTCCGTCTTCACGGTGTGCCCGTGTCCATTATTTCTGATCGAGGTACGCAGTTCACCTCGCACTTCTAGAGGGCCGTACATCATGAGTTAGGCACACGAGTTGAGTTGAGTATAATATTTCACCCCCAGACGGACGGACAGCCCGAGCGCACCATTCAGATATTAGAGGATATGTTTCGCGCTTGCGTTCTGGATTTTGGGTGTTCTTGGGACCAGTTCTTGCCACTTGTGGAGTTTGCCTACAACAACCGCTACCATTCGTGTATTCAGATGGCTCCCTATGAGGCATTATACGAGAGGCGGTGTCGTTCGCCAGTTAGTTGGTTCGAGCCAGGAGAGGCTCGGGTTTTGGGTACCGATTTGGTTCAGGATGCCTTAGAAAAGGTCAGAATGATTTAGGATCGACTTCACACAGCTTAGTCTAGGCAGAAGAGTTATGCCGATTGGAGAGTTCATGATGTTGTATTCATGGTTGGATAGAGGGTATTGCTCCGAGTTTCATCCATGAAGGGTGTAATGAGGTTCGGGAAGAAGAGTAAGTTGAGCCCTAAGTATATCGGACCCTTTGAGATTCTTGAGAGAGTGGGTGAGGTGGCCTGCAGGCTTGCCCTGCCACCTAGCTTATCAGTAGTCCATCCGGTGTTCCAGTCTCCATGCACTGAAAGTATCATGGTGATCTGTCCCATGTGTTAGATTTCAACTCAGTCCAGTTGAACAAGCATTTGACTTATGAGGAGGAGTCGGTGGTCATTCTAGACCGGTAGGTCCGGAAGTTGAGGTCTAAGAGTTATCCTTCTGTTAGAGTTCAGTGGAGAGGTCAGCCGATCGAGGCAGCCACGTAGGAGTCCGAGTCCGACATGCGGAGTAGATACCCACACCTTTTCACCTGTCCAGGTACTTTTCTATGTTCGTTCGAGGACGAACGTTTATTTTAGAGGTAGAGAATGTGATGACCTGATAGGTCATTTTGAGATTTAGCTTCTATTTCCGTGTTCCAAGACATCGATTAGCTTCATTTACCATTACTCGATTTGCGTGCGCAGTCCGAGTCTTTTTCCAGAAAATTTTTATGTGAAAAATTTAAGAAAATGTGAATTTTTGTCTTTAAAACTAACTTGAGTTGACTACGATCAATATTTTATGTAAATAGATCCAGATCGGTGTTTTGATGGTCCTGGCGGGTCCGTATCGTGATTTCGGACTTGGGCGTATGCCCGAAATTGAATTCGGAAGTCCCTAACTTATTTTGACTCATTTTGCCGAAAATTAGCATTTTTGAAAGTTGAAGAATTACTAAGTTTGACCGTAAATTGACTTCTTAGCTAAGGGGTTCAGATTTTGATGTTAAAACTTGAAATAGTTTTGTATTGCTATTTGAAACTTGTCCGCAATATTTGGTCCAATTCGGAATTGATTTGACATAATTCGGACACTTAAACATGATTCTAGTGTTCTTGAGTTTCACTTTGAAAGTTCATTCATTTTGAGGATTGATTCGTAGATTTAAATCTTATTTTGGTGATTTGATTGCGCGAGCAAGTTCTTATGATATTATTACACTTGTGTGCATGTTTGATTTGGAGCCCAAGAGGCTCGGTGAGTTTCGGACATGTTTTGGATGAGTTTGGTTAAAGTTAGAATAGATGGTGTTGGTGCTCTGCTGCTGATCTCGCATTTGCGAGGTCTGGCTCGCAAATGCGAGTTTCGCTTTTGCGAACAATGATTCGCATTTGCGAGCATGGGCTGGATTGGGTGAAACTCACATTTGCGAGATTTTGTTCGCATTTGCGGACTGTGAACCTTCGCATTTGCGAAGGAGGTGGTCGCAATTGTGATCATTGGGTCTAACCTTGATTTGAGGGAATTAGGAATCCTTGAACTATATGTTATGCGAATTACGTGCGTTGCGGCGTATATGCGAGGTGACAAATGTATATATGCCGTCAAAATAATTATTTCCATGTCTTTCTCGTATTTCATGAATTATACTGTTACATGCTCTAATAGCCTTCTATGCCGGAATTTTTTACTTGTCATTAATTATTCTTGTATTACATTGTTCGTTCTTTCCATGATTCCGTGATTAACTGCTACTTGCCTTAATTGTCTTACTTGCATACCTTAACTGTCATGTTCTTGCCTTGTCTTGTTGCTTTTGTATTAATTGTAGTATTCTTTTGATTAATACGGGGTTCCTTTATTGTTTTGCTTTCATATTCCTTAATTGTAGAGGTTCTTGTAAATTAAGCTATTGAATTGATTGCTTTTATTGAGAATATTTGTGGATCGGGTTGAACGCCACAACAGTTGTGATATGGAGGAATAAGGAAGGACTTTGATATTGATTATAATGATATGGTGGGATCGGGTTGCGCGCCGCAACGGTTATGAATGTGACACTTGATATTGATAAATTATGATAAGGTGAAATAAGGGAGGAATATGACATTGATTATGATGATATGGTGGGATCGGGTTGCGCACCGCAACGAATTTTATATGTGATTCTTGACATTGATAAATGATATTATGGTGGAATAAGGGAGGATTGTGTATGTACGGTAGGATCGGGTTGCACGCCGCAATGGATTGTACATGTTATACTCACTGTGTTATTGTGTTAGTTTTCAGGCTTTTTATATGATATTTTGAAGTCTGAAATTTTGGATTCTTTGGTTGCGAGGATTGGGCCCATTTTCATAAATTAACTGATTTCCGTCATTTCATGTTTCCTTCCCTGTTATTATTATTATTACTGCGTACAGGTTATTGTAAGTGGCCCGCATTAGCCTCGTCACTACTTCGTCGTGATTAGGCTCGGCACTACAGAGTACATGGAGTCGATTGTACTCATACTACATTCTGCACTTCTTGTGTAGATTTTGGAGTCGGTCCTAGCGGCGGTCAGTAGATTGCTCGGATCCGGTGCTTGACGAAGACTTGAGATACAGCTGCACATCGTTCACAACCCTGAAGTCCCCTTCTACATTACTCTAGCTGTTTATTTCAACCCAGACAGTTGTGCTTTTATTCAGACTATTATTTGCAGTACTCTAGCCGCTCGTGTATTCATGACACCGGTTCTGGGATTTGTATCTGTATATCGCCGTTTATCAAATTTATCTACTTTAGTCCAGTTTTTTTTAGCTTAATGGTTTTCATTTGATTTGAATTATTAAAAATGATTAATAACAACATCTAACGTTGGTTTTTCTAGCAAGTAAAATGTTAGGTTTCATCACGATCTCGAGGGTGGGAATTCCGGATCGTGACAAAGAATCTACATACGAAGTAAATAAAATGCAGCATTATAAGAGTTATTATGAGATATAAAAAGATACAACACTAAAAAATTATTATGAGACGTAAATCAACTACAAGCATCTTAAAGATACAAAAGGATGTCAGACTATATCTTGTACCTCCTAACAACAAATAAAAAAGGAAGCTTTGTAGTTACATACTTCAAAAACTACTCGTTTCAATATTGTATATCTAGTGATGGCACAAATAAAGACAAAAAAAGTAACTTTTATCTTAAAGAAGCTACTTCTATATAGAGGAGAACACCGTTATGCATCTCGCGACAAGTGATTAAATCAAGAAATAATTCTTGTTAGGATAACTACTCACTAAAATGAGTATCATGTGAATAATTATTTAAAAGTCGTCACTTATTAGCACTTACAAACTAAATAATTAGGTTCCTTCACCAATGAACACAAACAACGCAATATTGTTTCGAACGGGAAACAATAATATATATATATATATANAAGACTTTGAAAAGTCAAGGTTAGTAAAAGAACTCTGAGGGTCAATAAGACTCAGAAATTGCGCACATGATTTCCATGAAAGCTGATGAGCTAAGTGCTAACATCGAGAGCTAGGCACTGAATGTGCTTTGGGGCGCACAGTCGAACACTAGGGTGTAGACCTGTCTCCCACATTCTGCCTCGGGGGCATTTTCTAAGCGTTTTGCTCTGGGGCACGCTCCGAGAAAGTTTTTTAAAACTGTTACCACCGGAACTCTGCCTTGCGCCGAAAAAGCCTTTTAACGCACTGCTACCAGCACAAACACGAAGATTAAACCTCCCACAATGCACAAGCAAAGATGCTCCATTTACAAAATCGCACGATAACTAACAACTAAGGCTTCTAAGATCCATGACCACTAATTTAACATTTCAGAACCAACTAAATATCACATCTCATATAAATATACTTCTAAAATACACTAAATCTCAGCTCCCAAATCTAAGATGAGAAACCGAAACCATTGATACATTCGAAAGATGATTGACTGGTCTGTAACTTATAATCTTCATCCACGAAAGCTTCATTCACTGTCCTCGTTATCATCTGCCACGGAAAAGGGAGTTTTGAAAACAAGAAACAATCATGTGATAAATTTATGCAAATGATCAACAATTTCAGATGGAGTACTGTTGCAAATTATGTACACCAAAATACTTGTGTTCCACAAGATTACACTTAATCTTGTTCTAGTTACACCCAGAGTTTAAGTGATTTAGTTTTAGGCCAAGAGCAAACAAAACTAGTACTACTTAATAGGGAGAAAAAAGAAACAATGCTTTATCTAATCTAAAATTGCAACATATGCTAACAGGGAGAGTCTATGCACATGGCCAGTGCAAACGAAATTATGGAATTTCGACAAAAGAGGAATTTTATGGAACTTCCACCAAAGAAAGAGAAAAATTGCTGTTATTGCAGCACAAAAGCATGCCACTAGTAGAACATCTAAGAGGCCAGTGTTTAGCAAAAAGGAAAATACAGGGAAACTCAACTGAACAAGAAAGCTAATGCCTAGAAGGTAAAAGCATCTCAAATCAGCAAACCACCACTGTAGAATATATATGCTAGCAAATATACCTTCATTGAACTCCTCACTCTGACTGCTATCATCATCTTCATCGTCATCATCGTCTTTGTCACCGTCACTTGCATCATCATTGCTGCTATCATCCTTTTTGTCGTCATTCTTATCCTCTTTAGGAGGTAACTTGGGTCTTGGAGGAGGAACAAAGCTGGTCGTTGATCTCCGTCGTGTATTTGAAACAATGTTGCTTAGGTCAATGCCTTCCAATTCCTTTGCTCTTTCCTTTCTCTTTTTGACTTCTTTGATTTCTGGGCCAATCAGAAGTGGCATCAGCATAAAAGTTACATAATAAAACTTCCCCATACATGCACCTATAAAGCTATTTAACACTTTCCAACTAGATATGAGAATTCGTTCAACCAAAAAGGAGCGGGTAAAAGAAGCGAGCAACTTAAAGTAGCAGAGAGAGAATGATAGCAGCAAGAATTTGAAACAGAAGTGAAGACGCTATATTACATTTCAGCTGTAAAATTGTTAGATACCACACTTGCGGAATCTTACTGCTCCTATTAGACACTTTTATATAGTAATAATTTACCTTTCTCGCTGGGATTCGTTGATAGCCCTTCTCCAGAAAGTATCTTTTCCAACTCCTTTATCAGGAAACCCTCACGCTTGTCGTCAGACACCTGCTTGGCTCTCTTATAAATAGAAGGAGCAACACTGGTTTTTAGGATGATCAGGGGCAGTTGAATGATTGAATTAGAATGTGGGTCCGTGCATCAGTTAATACATACAGAATTGAAATCTTACAAAGAGACAAACCTCATCCCACAAGCTTTAATTATTGATTTCAGATGCTCCACACGTTTTCCATATCCAGCAGTAGCTGGTGCTCCCTTTACAACTTTCTTCTGCATTTAGGTAAGTTTAATGAATAACCAAATACGTGCACAGGGAGTTTTTTTTCACAAATAAGCATAATTTTTTTTTTGATTTGCACCGGGTGTCCAAGTATCTTTGAGCCCCGACTAATCCCGGGGGTGCACAGGCCCTCGGCAAGGAGTTTCCCGCAAGTGCACCACGGTTAATTCAGGTTTTACCCAGTCCGATGGCCCTCAGAAATTGTTTGCACCCAGTGGGTTTCGAACTTGAGACCTTGAAAGGGAGCAAACCCCAAGGCTCAAGTCAATTGCCACCAGGCCAACCCCTGAGGGTTCACAAATAAGCATAATTATACGGACATTATCATAATAACCTCACCTTGGCAGGAATTTCAGCAGATGATCCAGATTGACCATCTTCAGAATCACTCTTACTTGTGTCTCCATCACTACTTTCATCTGATAGCTTCTTAGAAACTTCTTTCTGCTTTTTGGCAGGGACATTATCCTCTGAATTAGGACTTTTTCGTTTCTTCAGTCCTTCAGATTTCTCAGCCGTTTCTTTTGCGGCAGATCTCTTACCTGATTTTACTTTCTCTGCTACATTTTTACTTCGGCTGCTAAATGAATTAGCGTTTTCACCACTCTTCTTTGCTGCTTTACTTCTTTTTTCAGGGCTTTTCTTACCACTATTGGTGGATTTAGGAGCTTCAGAAGATGTTAACACCTGTTAACAATTTTTTTTTGAAGACAGATTAATAAACATACTCCCCCCTTAGAAGTAAAGAGCTTTTTGAAACATAATCCCACCTCATCTACTTGGTTCTGAATAAATTTCTTAAAGGCATCAAGAGTATTTTTCTCAAGACCAAGATCTTCTTCCAGAAGTCGACGAACACCAGCAAGAGTTATTGACCTGAGATAGAACATTCACTTGAAACTGTTAAAGCACATAGAAAAGAACAAGAGGAAAATGAAGGGCCAATATTTACATAAATAAATAAATAAAACCTTTGATGTGAAAGATAAATACATAAATAAAACCTTTGAGAGAAGAGGTATTGTTGAAATTGATCAAACTAATAAACAAGTGTTTAAGCGTATAACTAGTGAATACACTTAATGTCCTAAAACTATTATCACCGATTTACTGCCATCCATTTATAACCCATTAGGTTGAATGCAAAAATTCACCAGTGATTAACTCATTTTGCCACATTATCAAGAATATAACAACACAATTACTGTTACACGGCGCCTTCCTGAAGTTCCTTGGAAGGGCGACGTAAGGCTAAGCAACCGATGTNAGGAGGTCTGTTCCCCTCGGTGTTGTGAGATGTCTTTCTGAATGATCTTCCATGCATTTCTAAAATGACCTGAGGCGGCTGACATGAAAGACTGGATGGATTTTCCACCAGGCTGGTGTGTTCAGCTGGTATGTGGATTTCCCGATGCGCCTTTCAATGGGAAAAGGCCCGATGAAGCTTTGCAATAGGCGAGGATCTTGGGTCCTCTTTGCAAATAAGTTCCGCCTCGGGGTTCTTACCATCACTTTGTCCCCTGCTTGATGTTGGGCAAAGCGACGGTTTTGTTCGGCATACCTCGTTGCCCTCTCCTGGGCTTTGACAAGATAGCTCTGCACTATCTTCAAAGTTTGCTCCCATTCTGTCGAGAAACTGGCAGCTCGATGAGATGATGGCATGTTTAGTGCATTCACATTTTGTGGGAGTAGCGGTTGTTGTCCGGTAACAATTTCAAAAGCGCTTTCGTTTGTATGGGCGCACTTTTGTGAATTGAAACACAGCTGAGCGGCATCCAGAAGCTTCACCCAATGTGTTTGTGACCCGGTTGCAAATTGGCGGAGATATTCCTCCAGCATGTCATT